TAATTTTTCACTCTTTTTGCTATAAGTTACATTTTGTTTTATTCTGCAACAACAGACTTGGAAACTTAAAGTTACAAGTTCAAGAATCAAGTTAGTCAAGACACAAGTTAGTTCAAGAATTTTAAATTGCTAAAACTGCAGTAGAAAATACCACGCGGGATCCACTGCAATTTGCGGAAATGCATTTGCAGAAAAGGCCATTTTTATGCTGTCTTGTAGGTCTCCCCAAAAAGTTACTCCCCTTCCTGAATGATTGATGGAGTGGGCGGAGGATCTCTATTGAAAAAACATACCTGCTCCAGCAGATTATTACTTGCCAAATCTTTATGATGCCAAGAAGGGTCTCAAATGGAAAACCGATTTGCCTCACTTTTGAGCAACATAGTTGATTAATTCTTCCTTTAGTCCGAGAGTGAAGCTTGCGGAATTTTTCGGAAGCGCAAGGGATTTTCAGGGAGAAAAGCTTTCTTATTCACCTCTTATTCTCGTATGAAAAGGGATAAATCAGTAAAAAGTAACGAAATTTAAGATTAAGATTTTAAAAATAATTTTACAAAAAATTAGTATCATCTGCAATTCAAGAGTCAAGCTTTAAATTGTTCGTTCAGTTCTCGTATAATTATTCTCTCGACCACTCTATCTCTTCAACAAAATAATAATCTTATTTTCACTCTATAAAATTGAGTTAAAACATTACACGACGTTTCTGAGTATTTTTCTCATGGGTACCGTTCAAATGAGGGGGGGGGGACTCCAATGGTAACTTTTTGAAGATTATATATACATATTGTGAGTTTTTGTGCTTTTTTAACACTTAAATTTAAAAAGCATATAGCATTGCATTACCCGATTGAAAATGCTAATCAAACTATAGCATTGCTTTTTTATTTTTTTTTTTTGAAACCTTAAAATTATAGTGGGAAAAAAATCAATATTTCACATTGATAGTTATGTATTTATGTATGGAATTCAAATGAAGATGCTACCATTCATAAAGGTGCTTTATGAATTGTAGCATGGTATTACCATAAAGATGCTTTATGATTAAAATTTTCTTACTATGTAATATTTAAAAAAACCATAAACATCAAAAGACTCGATTAAAAAAAAATTTACGAAATAATAATAAAAAAATCAAATATTTTTCGAAAAAGATATTCGTGGCTTAAGTTTTATAAGAGAATGCTTAAAAAAAATTTTATACGAATGCTTTCGTTGCTGTTGGTTATTTGTCGTCGTCAGAAAGTGTAGGCGAAATATAATAATTTATTTTTTCTGATGCTCCAATTATAAGCAAAAATATATTTAGGTATTTTTTGATTACAAAAAACAGTCGAATAGTTACAAAAAATTCGTTTAGATTATCAGGAAATAATTTGTGCATTTTTCAAAAGCTTTATTCTAAAGAATTTTTTTAATTAAAATATATAAATAACTCTTATTCAAAAAGTTAACAATAATTAACTTTGTAATTTCAATAATGAATAATTGTTTCTCTTAATTTAAATCTAAATAAGTGCACATTTGAAGATTGTTTGGATGTGTCGTGTTTGGAAAATTTTACGTTTAACGCAGGAAAGACAACGGTGTTTCATGTTGTATTTCGTAACCATAAGTTACTGAAATGCTAAATATAATATTTTCACTTATTTTGACTTAAATTATAAATAAAATAATGAGAAAAATATCAAAATTATATTTAATAAAAATTCCGGAACAAAAGGTTAACGATTTAAAATATTATAGTGTAAAATATGTGAAAGAGTTAAAGTGAATCAGCACTTGAATAAAAAGTATTAAAAATTAATAAGACAAAAAACTTTTCTTTTATGAGCACATGTAAATTGGGCATGAGTGCTTGATAAGGAGTTGAATTTCCAGTTTTGTAAGCGAAAGAGGAGAGGGATAACACTATTATCCTTATCACTTTTTAAGGTTGGCTCCAAGATTTACATGCAAACAAAATGGCACAGTTTGAGTACGGCGATTCAATTCGAGGTGGAAAATTAGATTTAATTAAGGAATTTTTATTAAGAATGAAGATGAAACACAGGACAAAAATCTACTAAAAGTGTATTTTAGATGATTGCAAAGCATCCTTAATTCTAGAAAGTGACTGCTTTATAGTGAAAAAAAAGAGCCTACATTTTTGAGTTAAATTTTTAAGCGGTTTTGTAAATAGCAACTTGTATTTTTTGTATTTTAATGTATTTTTTGAATTCAAAAAAAATTATGAAAACTTCGCGGATAATTAAAGTTTGTGTAAACAACCGAGCACCCTACGTTTTTCTCTTCTTTTTTTTCGTTTAATAAAAGTCGTCAAACTGGTTAATTGTTCGCATAAAGATCATACTCTTAAGCCAAATTTACCAAATAAATAAAATAATATATATATA